AATTGTTCTATTTATTTACACTACTGTTGATATATCACTATTCACTGCGCTATTTATTTAACTGCTATCACTGTCAATTTATTTCTGGATTCACTTCTGCAACGGTCAATTTATTTCTACCTTCTCGGCGATCATCTCTTAAATACTCTTTTGTTTACTTTCTGGAACCTTCTGGAAACATCTGGATAGTTTATTTTTATTTAAACTGTTTAACTGCTTTCCCAGAACGCAGGTATGACACACATATATTTACAAATACGGCGCACATGAAAAAAGGCGCTCGCAGCTAGTCCGCAAATCGATAAGCCGTTCACGCACACGTGTGCCCGATCGCACACAAGCACACTCGTGCTCGCTACATTAAGTATTTTATTTTAGGACATGGAAGATATTTTTAAAACTCGCATGTTCATTTTTTAGTTGTACGTACCTACTCATTTATTTCATGTCAATTTAATTTATACTTTAAGTGATTTTGGGTTATTATTGGAACACTTTACGATCTATTGTAACAGATACAATATTCACTGGATACATTTTTTAAGAAGTATTATTAGAACAGGATAATTTGGCTATACAGTTTAATATTTTAATTCGTCATTATTTTCAATAGTAATTGATTCTTACCTTAAGTTTGTCGGAAATAGGTCCACCATAACGCAATAGACTGTGCTAATTCCTAAACTGGTTAGAGCTTCAAATATGCAGCATAATACTAAGTTTGACACAGAGGAATTTACAAAATACAATCCCCCTGTAACGGCTCCAGCCACTAGAAGGCTGAAAACTAAAACAAGGAATTTGTTTTTCAACTCAATAACAAATAAGTTTTTAAATCTAGCTTTAAAGTGCATTTTCTTCACAAGTAAAGTGTCAATTTCCATGATGTTTATTCATCCAAAATGTTTAAATAAATTAATAACATACCTAGAAAGAATTTGGCACCAAGTCGATGGACACATAAGGGTAACCAAAAGCTGGTTGGGATGCAAGCCAAACCTACAATAAGTGTGTGGAAGAAGACAGACTCAGGAACCGGTTCGCCACAAAATTCCTCCTGTATTTCCGTATTGTTGCCCAATACGATTCCTGACACTTCACAAACTGATGCTCTTTGGCCTGGATGGACGCTTTCGAACTCTTCGAAACGATTAAATAGATCCGGAAACCATGACATCAATGTATAGTAGCTGAAATAATAAAGAAAATAATGGAGGTTTCTATAAATTAAATTATGACATTGCTAGATTTATCTGAAAGAAGGAACCATTCAATAAAAATGAAGACGTTTAGACATTAAATTTATTGATAAGAAGCTAAATTAATGGTCAAAATCAGGCCAATTTTAAAAGCTAAACGGCAAGTTGAACTAGGAGTTACAAGATTTAAAAAATAACGATCGGATTATTGGAACCATTTGAAGGAAAACAATTTTCCAATGGATAAAAGTAAGAAAAATTCCAGTAAGCGTTACTCATTTTCATTACCTGGAAGTAACTCCGAATTGAATCAAACACGTTATCACAGTATATTTTAGATGCGGAGCATGACAAAGCGCTTTGGTCTGTTCCCATATTTCCTGCAGTAGCAACTTTAGTTCTTTGGGCTTCCGAATCCTCAAGTTTCGAACACTCCTAGTTGACATTTGGGACACCACACTCAGAGTTCTCTGTTTTTCTCTGAGACTCATGATCTACAAACAGAAAGAATTCTCAAACCCCTCGTCAGTTAAATCAGCGGAATGTGCTGATAACTTACCGGAAAATTAGCTGACGATTTTCCAGTGTTACTTGCATACATCTCCTTTAGGACTTCCAAAGCGGCATCTGGCTCTCCACATTCCATAAGAAATTTTGGACTCTCCGGAAAACAAAACAGCCAAAAACCTATCAGTAGGCTGGGTACAGCACATACAGCAACAAATAAATTCCAACTGGCGAATTGAAACGTATGGTAGAAGTATTTAAACTCCATTGGTATTATAATCCATGCGATTCCTAAAAAATAATCCAGATTTAACTATTCGAACCTCCTAGTAGCAGTTGGAAAGGATGCTGACCTGGAAGTACAATAACTCCCACTGTCCAGAATAGTTCCATCCAACACAGTATCGTCTCCCTGTATTTACTGGGCTGGAATTCTCCCAAATATGGGAAGCATATGCCCATGGCTCCGGTTATTCTAGTTTTAAGATAAAAAACGTTAAGCCATTCAAAGCGGTTGATGTAGTTTAGTCTATCTCATTTTATGTTTATTGTATCGACATTGAAACTGTGGTCAGTACTTACGCAAATCCATTTAAAAATCGCAAAAACATGAACAGCCAAAATTTTTGAGCTACACTTGACAAAAGTCCACATATTCCGTCCATCAAAAGTGCCGCTATTAAAACTATCTTACGCCCTTTAGTATCCGCCAAACAACCCCAAAAGTAGGAACCAATAACCATCCCTAATAAAACAATATTTAAAAACAATTTCTCATACTGAATTGTCAAGTTTCGAACATTCCTCTCAGAAAGTGTTCCTTAAATAGTATATTAAACATCAAAAGATATGTACAGAATGGTCAGAGGCGAAACGTTGGCAAAAAAAACTACTTTCGATTCCCAAAAATTCGTAATTCTTTTTTGCTTGTTAATTTTCTGGTGTACTGAAGGTACCTATATGTGGTACTTATTGGTATTAACAATTGTACTTTCTATTCAATAATGCCTGAAGCCATTCCCAGAAAAAATTAAATACGAGGGGGTTATTGTAGTACCCACCTAACATGGGGGAGGCGGTAAGCCATCCTTTATCTGTAGAAGTCATTTGAAAATCGCAGGTAGCCGACGGTAGTACCATCGAAATCATGGTGATGCCCATGGCAGTGTTCAGGTATATGAGACCGCATACTGTCAGAAGCGCAAAATGGAATTTGCCAAATCCTGGAACACACAGGTAAGTTTTATTTGTTAATAATAGAATAGACTTTTGTTGAAAATTGTCATATATTTCCACATTTTTATTGAATTAAATTTGTAGGCAGTCACTGTGCATGAAAAAAAATATTTATAAAAAAATATGCAAATTTAATAACAACTAAAAAGCCGAGATAACGTCTAAGTTATTTTCAGACGTTACATTTATATAATTATCTAAAGGTAAAACATAATATTAACGTGATGATGACGCAGATAATAATTATTAATGAAATTATAATATCAGGTCATTAAAATTTACAGCTTGCTCGTTCAACGTCAAATTGTTTTATGGACTTACCTAATACTTCTAGTTTTTAATTAAATGGGAAGAGTGGAAATTTATCAAATTAAAAAAAATCGCAAAAAAGTTATAGATATATATCAGCATATTTTTGTATCTATATCTCAATTAAATGACAATAAAAGATATAGATAAAATAAGGAAAAATGGGCAGTTGTTTTTAAGTGTGTAAGAAAAGATGGTTGAACGAATTTGCCAGCCGTGCAGCCAGTCGTCCGGCACCCTTTTTGTATAAACATCTGAATCTACCTGCAATAAAATACGCCGAGGCAACTCGTGAATTGCTAATTAAGAATCTAGAGATATACTCTAATTATTTCAGAATATTTAACAAACTTTCAAAGAAGATCGTGGAAATATTCAAGACACGTGCTAACAATTATCTCTCTATTTGTTGTATTTGAACACAAAACTGCAAAAACCAGTTGTCATACTCAAGTAATTTGTTGTCAAAATATTATGACAACACTCGCTCACGTTAGGATTACAAATTGATAAGCAAATAAAAAAGTTTTGTAACACAAAAATTAAGTGCATGTAACCGGCTAATAATTAAAAAACGAAAGTGATTTAGGTAAGTAGGCAGGTACTCTGAATTTATTTAAATTGTGTCCACGTACCTACCATTGATTTCTTTTTCCAAGTACAAAATAATTCCTTAATTTTTGATGCATTATCGCACACAGGATTACAGGAAGTTGTCACGTAATTGTTGAGCACGTCTGTGTGTCATCAAAGTGAAATATATAGAATAAATTCGGACGACAAGTCTGGTTTCATCATAATACATTTTCAAATATAATATTGCAATTTGTATGCCACGGGTCTTCTATTTATCGTTAATTGATACCAATCTAGACATTGAAAACTATTGGCAGTTATTAAAAATACAATGTGTAGATACTAATCACCCTTCCCATTAGAAGGAAGTTTATTATTATTTATTAATAGCATCGTGTGATGCAGTTATATTGCCACTAAAAAGCATTGTTCTTATTTTATTGCTTCGACATTTTCCAATAACAATTTTAAAATAGAATTCATCACTGGATACATCTGAATGATCTAATGCATAACAAAAGTTTTTACGCAAGAGTTAATAAGGATTAACGTTAAAAAATTAAGAATACAATGTGTAGATACTAATAACTAACTATTGTTTATTAAAAACACCATACAATGCAGTTACAGTACCACTAAAAGTAAAGCATATTGCTTCGACAATTTTAAAAAAGAGTTCATCATTAGAAACACCTGAAGGGCCCAATTGGCAACACAATTTTTTACGCAAGATTGAATAAGGAAGAACATAAAACGTAAAACAATATAATACCTAGATATTAATCAGTAACTGATAGAAAATTTATTATATGCATCATGTGATGCAGTTATATATTGCTACTTAAAAACATTGTAATTATTTTACTGATTCGAAATTTTCCAATAACAATTTTATCATCATTGGAAGCACCTGAAGAATGTAATTTACAATAAATATTCTTTTGTGAATGTTTTAAGGAATAACATAAAAAAAAGAATACCTGATTTTTTTAGCAGAAGAGACAGCCTTTGAATGAGTAAAAAATAAATTACTTATTAGATATTTATAATTTACCTAATCAGTTAGTTATCGTTAAGTACTTGGATTACAAAACCTAAAAATTCACTCACCTGTATTTTCAAGAGCTCTTTCAAAGTCTTCCCCAGGCCCTTCTATGAAATCCAAACCTGCAACCAAATTCAGCATGAACTATTACAGTATCCACGTTTTTGCGAAACTTTCTTATTCAATAATCAATTTAATAACACAAAACTAACCCATTATAATTGTTGTCGTTAATTTCAGTAGCGTATCTTATAATGTATAGCATACACGTAAAACAAATAATCGTTTGTGATTAAGTAATTCATTAATTAAACGTTCTAAAACCCGTCACCGAACATCATCTACTAACGCAAGTTCGGACACAAAACTCGCGCTGTGGACACCATAAGAAATTGTAAGACTTATTTGGGATCGTGATAGTATATACCAAACAAATATTAAGAGTAGCCTTCAATATTTTGTTTCATTGGCTACAAGCGATTTCTTCAAGTTCGACACCACGCTATTCGAACGCTATCAGAATACGTGACCGTCTCTGCCTCAATTGCAAATTTTTTGATAAACGTATATAGCCGCGAAAAAATTGTGATGAATTTTTTCTTTTTCCGTAATTAAGTTTTTTTTATCAGACAATGTCCTTAATGTAAGAGTATGATATAACAGAACAAAGAACTTTAAGTAAAAATATTTTTTGATAAAACGGTCCTATGAATCACAAACGTTAGGTATATACAGAGTGTTTACAATCAAACAAACACATATAATGAATTCACGGATGTGTTATAATTAAAATGGTTCTAAATTTCTAAAATACAAATACAAATTGGAAACTATAATTCTCAAGCCTTAACGTAGCACAAAAGTAATAAATCTGAAAACACCTTTGTCTACCTGTAGGACTCTGTTTCTTTTGTAGTATGACAATACAACTGCAACCACTTGTGTCTACAAAGCTTTTACAGCGGTGTTCTCAAGCTGCATCCCCTTTAATATGAGTGCTAAATAATTAACTCCTAAAATAAAACCACTTGTGTTATCTTGAAAGGGAGATTTGGCAGGGGTATTAAGAAATCTATGTACTATTCCGCATTTGTCAAGGATTACTGATTTTTGTAGACTGATGTACCTGTTTTAGTTTATGCAGTTGCAACTCATCTATGCTGGTATGCAATGTTTTAGGCAGAGATGTGATTTATTTGAAATACTTGCATTTAAAATGCAAATACAGAATAAAAAAATACCTATTTATATCTTCATTTAAACACTTTTTTGAGAAAAGCATTTTCTATTTTATTTAAAATACTCTTCCAACTATTTGTGAAATGCAAAATACATTTTTAACGTTATAAAGGTTTTGCTAGTATCACCGATCAAACATTACATAAAATGATGAATGAAAGTTGCTCACATTGGTCATTGACAGTACTAGAAGCTTAAAAAGAGGATAACGAGACATTCCATGAATGCCTTCTAATTATTTAACTGAAGAGAGCCCAAAAAATTTTAACCCCTTGGAAATGGATAATCTAAAATATTGGACAGATATTGTTTTCCGAGTTCAATGTCATGGACCGCGGAATTTTGAAGTTCCAAACTGATATCAGCAGCTACCAAGTGACCACTTATCGTACCTTTAGCAAGGAACTACGAAATTCCATGAATTACGACAAAATAATATCGAATTGATATACGCCAGCTGTGTAAAACTAAAAACTACAAGATATTGTCATATGCTAAGGAATGCGTATAACCCAAAATTCTTAGAAAACGATTCGAAAAACTTCACTTATTAGCTGAACCCAAAGCTAAAGAAACCATGAATTCCACTTCCAGAAATAAATTGGAGTTGTAAATATTTTGATATAAAATGATTGATGGTGACTTTACATCAATAAAATTATTTGCAACCCTATTTTGGCATCAATGTCTTTTTTCCAATTAATATAGGGACAAAGGCAAATAAGGAAGCATATAGAAGAATTATTTGTTGCTGAACTAAAGAAAATATAACATAAAGATAGAAAAATTGTATCTCAATTTTTCTCTAGTTTTAGGTATAACGCGTATTGATGAAATAATTATCGGAATAACTCGAACTGTGTTCTGATTGCACACTTCTTTTATTTCTTTGGCTAAAGGTATATATTTTTGAATTTTGTCAATAAGCTGTTGCTTGAGATTTTCAATTTTCGATATAGAAACGACAAACGTCTATTAGATAGGTTGCTTTGGCTTCCTTGTTGGTTACTGTAATGTAGGATCTATTGATGCAGTTCCTATTCAAATCTAAACGCTGTCGTCGGTTGGAGTAGCGAGCTCCTTCATAGATCCTTTTATTTCCGATGCTGGATGTGGATAGGGCATGAAAGAATCTTTGCAGAAGCTCACCACTCATGCTAGTGAAACGGTAGGAAGCAACTCCAAACGACGACGACCTTTAAACCCGGAATCGGAACAACATCAGTTCACCTACTAGCAAAGACTTTACCAAGATGTCAGGTTTGTTAGTTTGATTAGTGGTTCTGTATGTAATTATGTCTCTAGCCCAGTAAATTTGATTATCTGGTTTCCTAATACATTTTGGGGTTTGTATTTATCTCTTTAGTTCTATCTAATCTGTGAGTTCATACTTTTTTACTAGTAGCGAGTGTTTAGCAATGTTATCATGTCTATGGGTGTTATATGTCGGCTAGCTAAAAATGAGCAATGGTAAGTTGCTTTATGAGAAGTGGTATCATCAAAATTGAGTAAGAAAGAAAGCTAATACTAATTCAAATTTAAAGATCTTGCAGGTAACAAACATTTATTTATGCTATATAGGATATGACAACTAAATTTGGAACATTGTGACACTACACAGAACATACGACGAGATAAAATATAAATTTTACCTTCCATTTGGACAACAAATTGTAACACGTGATGCCCAGCATTTTTTCATTATTCCATAGCAACCTTCACTATAAGCTTATCACAGTCAGTTAACACACAATGGCTATAGCATAACTAAATTTCCCAGAATGTTCTTCTTTTCTTGTAACCACCGTGAAAATCGCATTGATACAGTCCAGAATCACTTCATCCCTATTTATCAAAGAGTCAGTATTAAAACAAGGGAAGCACGCCACCACCGCCGCGTATCTCAATTATCTCTTTTTGCTTTACAGAGCATTAACGCAGCAAGAACACTTGTGGTGTGAAAATGCGGTAAATTTTTTCGCTAGAGAAAGCGCAATAGCCATTTCATCCCTTTTTATAGAATGGGACGAAAATAACAGTGAATCGATGAAACTCTTCGCTAATTAATCTAAGTGAGTGTGTGTGTGTGTGTGTGAGTGTACCCACTGTTCGTAGAGTGAACTTAATTAAAAAACACAGCAGTACGGAGGCAGGCGAGAGCAGATGACAGATTGGTCAAGGACGGAAAATGGAAAAAAAATGAGAATGGTCACCATCAGTTAACTAAGGGTAAACTATTTGATTAATGGTTGTCGGATAACGCAGCAAAATTTAGGTATACATTATTGCCATTAATATTAATCTAACTTCCTGTTTTATATAGATACTATCGCATACCCCTAATGCAGGGAACAAATAAACATCCCCACAAGATATTTTATTATTGTAGGTTGAAATAACGAAGGCATAAAATAAATCGTAAAATTTGTATTGATCATTTTTCCTTGTTAACTGCACATCAATCAAAGATATTGATGTTTCGTTCTGGAAGAACAACAGTGACACCTTTGTTTCTATCTTTCTTAATATGATTAAGTTCAGGAAAGATTACGTACAACTTTTGCACGTTTTGAGTTCAGCTCTGTATGGATGTGAAATGTAGATGGTGAGAACTGTGGAAGTAAAAAGTTAGAGGTGTTAAAAGAGATAATAAAAATATTGTGAATAGAAAGAGTTAGAATTGATGATGCATTAAAAAGAGCAGGATATTGTAGGACATCATGGAACTCAATAAAGATAGACCACATCGGTTAGTAGGACACCTTCTTAGACATTAAGGGCTACTTAGGGGCATATTAGAAGCGGAAGCAGAAATTATGAGGGGTACAGGTAGACCTGGACTAGTTACTCCGAAGGCTGGTTGAATACGCATGTCCACCTTTTCCTATCCTGTCTCAATCTTTACATTTTCCGAAAACTACATCATCCCACATCCTTAACCCTTTGGCAATAACCTAGGTCTTCATTCTGACTCTCTTCAATCCTGTCTGTGCTTTTAATATCTCTCTTGCTAGACCTTCGTATCTCTAAACGTGTGCCCTCTCTTCATATCTCTTCTTTCTCCTCATTAACTTCAATAGCGCCCATTTAGATACGTTATCATTTCTAATATTTTCTATCCACACTATTTTCATCATCCACCCATGACACTACACCATAAATGCTTCTAACTTTTTCTTTTCTGCTGCCATCTACGTTTCAGTCACGAACATTTAACGATAAGTGAATCCTTCCGTTAAAACTGATTTTTTCTTTTCTTTTCAGTAACTTTTAGACAAAACCCAATTACTTATTTGTAGTTTTGTTAGTCACATGTTTCAAAACATCCTGTATACATAGAATATTGTGCCATCGGTTCCTTCTTATTATATATTTTAATCCTCCAATCTATGCAATCAAATGCAACATTTCCTGATATTAATGATACCGAGTAAATGCTTGCAACAAGTCGCTTAGCAAAGGCATCTGATGTGTTGCTTAAAAAAAACTCTTTAACATACCGAAAATGGTAAGAAGACTAATGAAGATTTATTACTAGAAGGCGCCACAACTATTTGCTTTATGGATATTGTGACGTCTGCAATATTGCCTGTCTACAACAAACATTTTTTTTAGGGGAAATAAAAGTAAATTGATGACGACTCAAAATTAGTGATGTCCAAGGTTGTAAATTATTAATCCACACTGTCATTTTAAGCTTTTAATTGTCTTGGATACTAAATCCACATAATTTAGAACTTTCATAATTAATTTTTTGGAAATTTTGTTCAGCCTAACAAAAAGATATATCTATAAAGGTGTCCAAACGTTGAATGTCTGGAAAAAACTCTTCACACGGTAGAGAGGAAATTAATGTGCCTTCAATAAGATACAGATTTATATT